CTTCCTCCTGTGCTCAGAACTCCACTTCCACCCTATTACCTCAGTTTTTGTTAATGAGCCACCATTTCTTTTTCGTATCCTTGAGGCAGCCTCCAGTTATGCTGATCCCATGTTATCACATTGACTCGTGGTGACCTTGAGCATGTCAGAGTAGAACTGTGTCCCATAAAATTTCCAGTGGCTGAATTTTCAGAAATAGATGATCAGAACTTTCTTTGTGATGCTTCTGGGTAGGCTTGAACCTCCAAACTGTCAGTTAGTAGCCAAGCACGTTAACTGTTTGCGCTGCCCAGATGCTTCAATGTGATGATGAATATCAGAAAAACAGAAAAGTGTAAAGCATATTTGGAAGTGGCTGTCTCATGGATCAAACATGGAGGATTGACAGGAATGGCACACGGGACCTGTTTTCATTGCACTTATTTCTTCATTGCATGAGTGCATAATTACTTTATTAGAGAAATTTTAAAGGGTTATGCACATTTTCAAGTTTCCTATCTTGGGTATCAAATTGTTGGCAGGATGGCTAGATTTTATAGAGTTGTTGGGAGAAGTATGTGCCCTGTGAGGGCGTCCTTCCATGGCGATGGAGTTACACTTCTAACATTTCTGCCCAGACTTCTCCTCTCCCAAGCTGATTAGTAACTTTGGATGACATTGTAATCCCCAACCAGCCCCATCCTATAATTTGGACAAGTATTTATCTCTAATTTTATCTGTTTCAAAGTGGGAACCATCATCTAGTTGATTTTGCTACCTGCAATGTTATAAAGTGGTAAAAAATTGCCAACATACGGAGTTAGATTCATTTTTACAACATGGAAGAATACAATTAACTTCCTAATCTATACACTGTGTAGAGAGCTCTAATACTGTTGTTTGTAGGGAGCTGTGCTGTTGACCCAGAGGCTGTGCCTCTCTGGTGGTTGAAATCTACTAGGAGCTCTAAGGAACAGACATGGGTAATCTTCTGCATGAATTACAGCCTCAGGAACCAATGAGAGATGGTCCATGAGAGTTCTGACTCAACAGCTAAGGGCCAGAGAGAGACAGAGAGAGGGATGAAGAGAGAAAGGGAGAGAAAGTATATTTTCGAACAGTAAAAGGTATAAACCCTAAATGCTCTTGGAATTCTTAAAAGAGCCTACTTCCTACCAATATTTCTTTTCATCTTCATTTTTCCTTCCTCTAACTCCAGTGTTTTTCATTACAGCTGAACTTTAGCGTTATCTAGGAGACCCCTTGGATCTCTCTGGGCAAACCCCTTAAATTCTAAGCATCCCAATTCCCTGACATTAACAAGCCACATTGTGTGTAAAGTGTGTTTTATAATACTAGGCACCAAGTAAGTTTTAGTATTAGGGTTTCAGTGGCCGCAATTCTGGAATGTTTAAATCCTCCAGAAACTACCATAACTTCAGGCAGATTCCCAGAGATTTTCCAGAGTAATACTGTTAGTTACTGGTACAACTTTAACTTCAACTCCCTGTTTGTCAACACAGGCAGAATGGTTTCCTTGTCTCTTTTTTCCCCCCTGGGCCAAGACCCTCTGCCCCTTGTCACTTGCTGTGGAGGTGAAAGAGATGCTTAGAACATGGCCCTGGTCAGGGGTAAGATAAAAGGTCAGCTCCCCCTCATCCCTGCTGACAGCACTTTGAGACAAGCAATGCCAGGGGGCTGGAGGAAGGGTGGGTAAGCTAGAAATCTCAGGGAGGGAACTTTTCTAATTTTTTTAAATTCTTTTTAAAAAATGTTATTATTTTTTGTGTGTGAGTACCATCAAATCGGATCTGACTGGTACAGGAGGAGATTGCCCCTCCTTCTCCATCAGAGTATCTTGTGGATTTGAAGGGTGTTCCTCTGGGATTGCAGTGCAGCTTCTTGCCACTAAGCCACCAGAGCTCCTTAATTTTTTTGTTTTGGAAAAATTTTTTCACTGTGATTTTGACGAAAGTATACAGAAAAATTGCATTTTTCATTCATTGTTGCACATTTTTCCTCTCTCCTTCCCCTTCTTCCCCAATGTACTTCCTTTTTTAAAAATATTCATTCATTGTTGCACAGTTTTCTCCCTTCTCCTTTCCCCCTCCACTCTACTTCTCCTTCTCAGAGCTCTTCTCTGCTCCTTCCTGTCTCCTATTCTCCATTCCCCTCTCTTTTCACCTTCCAGTGTCACGGCAAATTGGACTCTGAAGGCATGGAAAGGACAGCAAGATGACGGGGATACCTCCTCCACATGCTGTGTTTTGGGTGTTCGGAGTTCAAAGGAAGTATAAATGACAGTACAAGCTGTGTTAGAGGCTTGTTGAAAGTTGAATTAAGTGTGGTGAAGACACATAATTCATCTCTTCCTCTTTTTGCTCCCCCAGTTGCCATACTTCATTTTTTTATATGGTGAAAAGATAGGATCCACAGAAATGATGAAGGAAAAAACGCCTGCCCTCAGATGCCTTGTCGCTGGGCCAGTCATTTGTCAAACTTGGCTACTTTCTACGAACATTTCCTGCATCTGGCTTTGCCAATCCATCACACCTGTGAGGAGCAAAGGCAACAAAACCAGGTCATCGTCTTAGTAGAGTAGCCTAACCTCTTCACACATTTACTCAGTCATTCCTTCATTTATTCAACAGTTGCCAACTCTTGACAAAAGCAGAAGTCAGGGAGGGCCTCAAGAGGTGAAGGCAAGTGCAGACCTTCCGCTTAACCTATAGCCTCATCGGAGACAATGTGAGAGCAAATTATTAAAATACAATGTGAGATGCATTAAAAGAAAAATTGAAATTGTATGAATACAAAGACTTGAAGAAGAGTTTAGAAATTAAGGGAGAAATAAAAATTTGCCAGATGAAGGGTACCATGGCATTACCATGTAAAAGCAATGCATATTGAGAACAGCACGTTTAGGAAGCTCAGCTGAGAAATTTGATCCAGAGCAATGAGAGATGTTGGGGGGAATGAAACGATAGAGATGGATTGGAAGTGGAGTTGGGAATTTAATTCTATAGGAATGAGGGAGCCAAGAGTGTAAGCAGGTGAGTGGCATGATCATCTTTGCTTTTCCTGAGAGGTATTGTATGAACAAGGTAGAGGACAACTTAAGATGAACGCTGAACAACCATGAGCAAGATTCTGAAGGAGGCAGTGGAAGCAGATAGCATCCCGTGCACAAGCAACTGAGCTTCCTGCAGTCGTGCCCAAGCCTTAGAGCTAATGCTTCTTCCACTGTGTTACTCTAGTTTCAATGCTCAACTTTCACATGCACGTGAAGCAACTGGAAATATGATGGCTTGAGTCAGACTTATCTTATTCTTCCAAGTGAGCTATTTAAAGTGCTAAAGAGAAAAAAAAAATTTTGAAAAGGGCAGCTCTAGTGGCCTAGTGGGCAGGAAGGTGCACTGAAAGAAAGATGGGCAGTTTCCTCCCGGGTGATTGCCTCTGAAAACCTGCTGGAGGGTCAGCCATGGGTCAGTTCTGACCCAACAGTACACAACAGCAACAAAGGGCAAAAAAATGTCACTTTAAAGATTAAGGTGGGAGAAAGTAGGACAGTGAATGGGAGAATGAATAAAATTGATGATAAGAATGAAAGTAGGACATGTGGAAGAAAGCAGGACAATGAATAAACAACATTGATGGAGAACTGATGTTGTCCTAACTATGATGTTGGTGAAGAGTGTAGACTACACTGTGGAGTGTTGAAAAACCAAACCAATTTGTTTTGAAAGATGTGTAGTCACTTTGTTCCTTAAGAGGTGAAGATGTCGGATATATTTTGGACATATTGTCAGGAGGAGTCAGTTCTTAGAAAAGATATTATGTGTGGAAATGTTTGTTATTGTTATGTGCCAAAGAGTCACCCGCAACTCATAGCAACCCTATGTACAACAGCTCTGAACCCTGCTCTCTCTTGGAGCTAATTTCATTGTCTCTGGTACATCTACCCCCATTCCCCTAATCACTGAGGCAAACCAATTCAAACTTGGAAACCTGGGCTCAATTTCCAGCCAATGGTGTCCACACCACTATTAATCAAGGGATAGCACAAGATTGGACAACATTTCATTCATCGCCATGAATCGGACCTGATACAAAGGCAGTTAACAGTAGGCTACACTGTAAATATGTTTTATGAGCAATTTTTTAACATATCGGTAGCATTGAGGCCGTTTATGGCCAAACGTTTGGTACCATGATACAATGCAATCATTCTTTTGAAACCAATAGCTATTAACAAAGTAAAGGTGGATGTGTGGGTGTACGCAAGCATGCAACAATGAATACAAATTAAAAATGGAGAGAAGAATCAAAACAGGTTAAAAATGTGGTTTTTCTCTTCTTTAAGACAAGGGGAAATTTTCTGAGCACGCAGACTGTGAGGAAATCATGTATTGCATCTTGTTCGAGGAGTTCTCAAATCCTTGATGATATTGGTTGATTGGTGAGCGAAGGTGAGAGACAGACACCCTTGCTGATGTTGTTTTCACGTGGTTGAAAAAGCTCCATAAACTGAGTGGGGAAACAAGTGTCAAAATTGTTTTAATGTAAACCTCTTCTAGAATGGAAGATGTATCCAAGATTGTGGCCATGACTCTGAGGATGGCCTGGACACTGAGAAAGGGTTGGCCTGAGGGCGGCTCTGCAGGCAGTGACAGAGGACCACCTTGTGTTTTCTTCTCAAAGCTTGCTTTCTACTGGGGTAAGCCCCTGCTCAGACTATATTTCATTTTGTTGAACTACATTAAAAAGAAGATAAAAGTGAAACATGATCAAACAAAGAAAGGCTGAAGGATTTTCCCCTTTACCTTAAAAAAAGGTGGTGGGTTTTTTTTAAAGAGTAGGGATTTTATGTATAAAATTACCCCAGAATAATATATGTACAATTAAAATGGCCTTGATTGTGTTAATAAAGCTATTTATTAAAATAGAAAATGGGAAGGGGGGGGCGTCCACTTTGGAGACACAGCTGCTGATAGTGTCTTGGACACTAACAAGCAGGAAGATCAGTTAAACAGGAAGAGGAGAAGCAAGGTCAGTGTCCAACCACTCCACTGGACAGATGGTGCTGAACTGTACTGGTCCTTCAGCATGCACATCACTCGGGACCAGGAGCCATTGTTGGGCAGTGGCGGGATGTCTGCCACGTGGCACATGACATTGTACACATCCACAGATCTGATGGGAGCAGCTCTGAAGTTGGGCTTAAAATCTGAAAGGAAAGACAAACAGGCTGTCATGGTCTCTCACTGGACAGAGAGGGGCCAAAGGTCAGAAGATGGAGTAATTATGCTCAGAATTAGAAACATTGGGATTGAAAGATCAACTCTATCAGGGCATGGCTGAGTGATTGTGAATGTGGAGAATGTCAAAGATGGGGTGCAATCCAGATGAAGTTGTTCACCACAGATTAGTAAGGAAGCACAATTAAACTCATGTGTATCTTGCTTACTGGGTTCCTGACAGATTATAATGTTTCAAATCCATTTAGGAGCATCTTGGAAGAAGAACCATTCAGATCAGAGCCATACTTCATGTAGATGTTCTACTTTGTAGCACAGGGGATCACAACAAAACAGAATTGGCTTTAACAGCAATGACTTGATTTATTTTGGAATAGATTATTGTGTGTAGTTATCACCCATCTATAAAAGGAGACTGGCTTGTTGCTATTATGCCGAACAGGTTTCAACAGATCTTTCAGACTAAAGATGAGCTTAGATCTTCTTCCAAAAATCATCCAATTAAAATAACCTTTGGATTATAATAATCTCATCTACAACTGAGCATGGGGTGGCACGGGACCAAAGAACATTTCTTTCCCCCAAGTGTGGGGTTGCCTTGGACCAGGGATCAACCCCATGGAAGCTAATCACAGCAGAGGTTATGAAAGGAAATTATTTCCCTTGGGCTCATTGTGATGAGTGTCCTTAAAAGTGAAACCAGCAAAGACTCTCTTTGTGTTCTCTCTGTGACAGAGCTCTCCTGGAGTGGCACAAGGGTCACTTGGGCGGCTCCAATTCTGCAGAGAGCAGGAGACCAGGTGTGGACACTAAGGCTTGACTGTCTTGCTGAGATCTTCATAACTAAATTAGTATGTATTCTGGGATCCCCATTCTTCCCAAGGTTAGCCACAATTTGTTGTGATCCACACAGTCAAGTGCCTTCCTAACCACTGTTGTTATTGTGTACTGTCCAGTTAGAGCTGACCCATAGCTGACCTCCAGCGGGTTTTCAGAGGCAGTTATCACTCAGGAGGAGATTGCTCATCCTTCTCACAAGGAGCAGCTGGTGGATTCGAACTCTGTGTCTTCAGGATTGCAGAGCAGCTTCTTGCCACTAGGCCACCACCAGGGCTCCCAATTATTACTAACATTTATTATAAAAAGTCCAGATGGTGCTGTGGGTCAAGCTAATGGGAAAGTCAGTAAATCAAGGTCACCAGCCACGCCTCAGAAGGAAGACTAAGCGATCTACTTCCAGGAAGATCACAGCGCCTTAGATACCTATGCACGTAACTCTATTCTGTCCGAAAGGCTTGCTGATAGTTGACAGAGTCAACTATGCGACAGTGAGTTTATTATTAAAGAAGGTGATAGAAATGGTTTGTACCAGACAACTAAGCTCAATGTTAATGGTTCAAACCATGCAGTACAAAGGCCTGGTGATCTTCTCTCATAAAGATTGCAGCTGACACATGGGATCACCATGAGTCAAACACAGGCACAATCACCCTTCATTGTCTTGCACTTTGTAGATACTACTTTTTTTCCTGCAAATTGAACACTTGTGTCAAGATTGTATTAAAAACAATATTATCAGTGACATTTTTCCCAACAGCATGTGTTTACTTTGTGTCTCAGAGACACATTTTGGTAATTTTTGCAATTTTTTTTTCATGATGATTTTTCATACTTGATAGGACACAGTACAGTGTAGATGGACTTTTTATCTGCACTGAAAAAGCAAAAAGTTCTTATGACTCATTTTATTGCAATATTTTTTGGTTGCCTGGAAATGAATTAGCAGTATCTCCAAAGTACACCTGTAAAGGAAATAGCTAACAGGTGTTAACTGTGGGTTAAAAAGATTCACCTAAGAATTTGGGGAGTTCATTTTCTTTTGAAGTGGGGAAGGTACAGAGCTTAAAATGAGTAACAAAATCCAACACCCAAATCTCAGTCAGTTGCTGCTGTTGGGTGGACATTGACTATAAATCATGCTAGGAGGAGATTACCCAACTTTCTCCCTAGGAACAGCTGAAGGACTTGGACCAGCTGAAGGACTTGGACTGAGAGGCCTGACCTAGGATTATGGCTCTCTATGGACTACACCACCAGAGTGACCTCAGCCAAACCCAGAGCAAAGAATGGGAGGGTTGTGCCAGTATTTCAGCTTTCTTAATACTAAGGTGAATTTTACTAACTAACATAGTTTTAGTAACTAATGTAAATTGTAGTGGTTACATTTCCTCAGCAGAAGAATCAGCTAAAGAAAGAGCTATCAGTGGAAAGACCGTTCCAGTGACTATCGCACTGTCCCCACCACATGGGGGCCTTGTCCTTGTTGTGTGAGTGAGAAAGTATAGGGTGGTGAACAATGATACTCTGTGTCCTCCTTCAATTTGCCAAACACTCCCATTAACACTTTTCAGGAGAAACTGAGATTGAGTAATCCTGGCAAAAGTGATTATTAGGAAAAAAAGGATTCTTTTAGTTGAACACAATCAAGTCCTTTGTGGGTGGGCTCATTTAGTTCAAGGATCCCTGTTGTGTAGGGATAGGACTCAGGACCAAGAGCTGAGCTGATCTGCCTGGAATGAGGCAATTCCTGAAGGATAGTTTCTACTAAGCCCAATTTAGGAGTATAGTTTCTATTAAGCCCATTTTAGGAGACTCTCCCCCTCAAAAAACCCCCCAAAACCCGCTGCTAGTTTGAGATGGCACTTTGAACCTGGATTGAAAATTGAAGTTATTCCTATTGGTTTGAAATTTCTAGATATTTTTAAAATGTTTCTCCCAGAGCAAAGAGGCTCTGCAGGCTCACACTGTGCGGGCTCTTCAAGCTGCTTCCTGCGTGAGCCTTGCTGGTTTGCAGGCAGTTCACTGAATCACACGCCTGCTGTCTTATCTTCACTGTGAAGTTCTCCAGGGCAAGATTAGCTTGTTCAAACTAGAAACTGGGATTAACCAGAGTGAGGCTATCTTCCAGAATTATTTCCTTTTTTCTTTGCTGCACTAGACTTTCTGACTTCTGCAGCTGTATCGAGGTAGCTACAGCAAGGCCCACCTCCTCTGTAAGCAAGAGGTGCAGACGATTAATCAGGAGGGAAGTCCCTTTATCTCAGAGTGCAGCTAGATAGCTATTAAAGACCTCACTCTTACATTTTCACTGGAGTAAACAGTCAGTGTGTAAAGCTGTTCAATCTTTCATGAGAACTGGAGCCAGAAACGTGATGGGTGTGGGAGGCTCTCGAGGACTATATCTGCCTGGAAACATTTTTGTAATTAGCTCAGGCCATTTTCATCCAGGGCGTCTTTCTGTCTGTAAAAGACTGGGGTTTTTCGTTTTCAAGGAGCTTACGACTAAGGCTTTTGTTCATGGACAGAATCTCCCCAACTGAATGTAACTTGAAGCTAGTGAAAGTTTGGGTGCTGTGTTGAAAATGTTTGATTTGGATTAGATTTGGTTCTGCTTTAAAATTTGCTGGAGACTGTTACTTTTGCTTATTCCTTCAACAGATAATAGTTTTGCATTTCTAATCTTAATTCTCTTTTCTGGAGAGGGAAAGGGGAACTCTGGTGTGGCATAGTCTGTAGGGAGTTGTACTGCTAACCCAAAAGCAAGCCTGTCTGGTGGTTCGAATCCACCTAGGGGTCTGTGGCAGAAAAAGAAGCAATCTCTTCTTCCTATGTGATTTACAACCTTCTGCAAGCCACTGGAGGGCCAGCTAAGTTGTTCTGATTCAGCAGCAATGAGAGAGAGAAGAGAGGGAAGAGGCAATTCTTTTCAGTAAGTGTTGCTGGATAATATTTTCTCACAGAAAGGCAATAGCCAAGGAATGTCTCCAACTTAATCGACGTAATACACAAACTTTGAACTGTGGTGCTGGAGATCAGTATTGAATATACCATGCACTGCCAAGAGAACAAACAGATTCATCCTGGAGAGGGTTAAACCAGGCTGCTCCTTGGAGGCAAGGATTCTGGGGCTTCATCTGACATACTTTGGACATGTTGGAAGGAGGGACAGGTCCTTGGAGAGGGACATCATGCTTGGGAGGGTGGACGGACGGTGCAGGAGGGGAAGACACTCTATGAGGTGGATTGATTCAGTGACTGGGATAATCGGGATGGGTATGTCAGAGGCAGTGAGATTGGCACAGGAGAGAGCAGGGTTTAGGGCTGCTGTACTTAGGGTCGCTATGAGTCACAAACGACTCAATGGCACATAACAACGACAACAACCCACAAACTATGCCCTAAATCCATTCACCTCTGAACTCTGCATATCTGACCTCCGATCTAGTTGACCACTGGCTAGTGACCACATGATGGAATATCCTCTCAGCTGTCTGAGGTCAGTGATATGAGCCCACTCCTGTACTTGTAAATGCTTGCGGCTAGTGATGTCCACGCTGGGACTTGGGAATTTAGACTACACGTGGGCAAGGTCTTGGACCAAGTTACTCTGTCATGAATTGAATTGTGTCCCCTCTCCATGAATACATGTATGTAAGAATGCAATGTGGAAACTGTGTGATGATCTCCTAGGATCAGATAAACCCAATTGTGAAAGATGAAGGGTGTTTCTGTGGTACTCCCTGTAACACCTTTTGTCTCACAACAGATAAATGAGGGAGAAAATGAGGGGAGGCCCTCCCTCAGATACTACCAAGCACTCACCAGGAGTGAAGTGTGTCCTTTTGGACTCAAGCCTCTATACAAGGAAGCTGCTTAACACCAAGGATGTCCAAGGCACCTACAAATGTTACAGGAAATGAGGGCCTCCCTTCAGGACTGACCGAGAGCTCTGGTGGTTTAGTTATAGGGAACTGTGCTGTTAGCCCAAAGGCTAAGCTTTTCCGGTACTTTGAATCGACCAGATCTCCCACTTCTATGGGAGAAAGATGAGCAAACTCCTCCGTGGGATTCACAGCCCCAGAAACCAAATTGAGAGTCCATTTCTACTCAGTGGCAATGAGTTTGAGTCTGACTCCTGAAGAAACAGAGAGAAAAGGCCTTCTAGAGCTGACATCTGGAACTTAAATGAGAGGGGAGATTTCTGTGCACTACAGTCATCCGCTTGTGCCTTCCCTGTTACCACAGCCTAGATAACTTAGCCACATTCCCTAAGCTCAGGATCCCACAGGCACTGAGGGAACTACAGCTATTGGCACCCCTGATCTCAACAGCTGTTTTGTGATAAGTCGAGTGAAGCGAGGCTGGAAGAACGTGGTGAGCTGACTTATCTTCAGTCTTTCTACATAGAGAAGGGCAGGGCTTCTTTCTAGATGTGGTCTCTAACCTATCATTTGAGAGGAGAATGTAGACTTTTGTGGGATGAAACATTTTGATCACCATCTGGAAAAGGATATTTGGAATGTGGAATCAGAGTAAACTTGCTGTATTTAATAGGGATTGCGGACAACAGTAAGAAAGAAGAGGACCTTGTGAACTAGTCAACAGAGTGCTGAATGTTTTTGCTGCTTTTGAGATATATATATATATATTTAATAAAGAAGGTGTTCATGTAGCAGAATGTCTCCAGTGTGTCTGAGGATCTTTTACAAACTGTTAATCTATAATACTGTCCCAGTTAAAGCAAATATCCAAAGGGGCCCTCTTCATCTCCCATCTCTTCAGACACTAAAAATTCATCTAATAAAAAGTCATGTTGTTGTTGTTGTTATTGTTAAGTGCCGTCTAGTCACAAGTGACTCATAGCGACCCTATGAAGGAGAGTCCTCGATGCTTGGGTGCCTTTCATCCTCTCTCCAGGTTTATAGGGTTTCCGGAGGCAAGCTATTATGGAAGTAGATATCACTCCTCCTTCCAAGCTTGTTTTAATTGGGGAGCTCCACCCCACTCTCTGTCCTCATTGGGTAGCCAACCATTAATGCAGTTGACACATCAGTGTCACCGTGTTCAGCCTCACAGCAACCAAAAATAAAGTCATAGCAAAAAAAAAAAGTCATAGCAAATTTGCCTTCACTCAAGCTTATGTCTCCTTTTCAAAGTAGGACCCTAGGTCATGTTGGAGCCTTTCCATTAGCATGCCTTAACATCTGGTTGGACCTTGAATTGAGTGAACTCTGTGAAATGGGTACATAGATGGGGAGGAAGGGCCCAAGACCCAGACCATGAGAAGCCTTCACACCCATTTCATTTCAAAACTAACAGCTATCAGCGCCCGATTTCTGATAAGCTTTCCTGCACATCAGATAGCTGTGAAATAACGTTTCAATGAATTATGCAAAAAATAAATCACAAACAAGTAGAATTATATGTTACCTTCACTGCAGTTGGGATCTAAATTTTACAAGGAAAAATATTTGACCACATACGTCAAACCCCAAGAAACATTTGAATAGAAGTCAACAAAAATGCTTTGGCTGTGTTTGCCAGGCATTGCTCACCAACAGGAGATGTAAAGAACTCACACTCGTCTCTACCAGCACCATTGACTCCTACTGAGGAGCAACCACCCTGGGAAGGGTCGACTAAGAATATGCTCATTTCCTTCCCTACCTGGACCAAAGGCCAAGAAAATGCCTCTCATGTCCATGAGCTCATTGTCGTATCCATGCCATCCATGCTGCCAGCCAGCCGGCTTTCCAGTGCTGTTCCTCCAATATGGGAGCATCTCTCGATCCTGAAACCAACCAAGACAATCACATGTTATGTCCCGAGATTAGACAGCATCTGATGCAAACTGCTACCCAGCATAACCCTAACTCTTCCACCCTCTTCCTGTTCCGGGTAGTTCGATGTCATGGGAAATAGTCCATGACATTGCTGCAGACTTCTAGGTGAAAAGGTATTTTCTTATGCTTGGCTGTACTGAAACACTAAATAGTACATAGGAGTATATAGTATATAATAGTATGTTATTTAATAGTATATTAAAATGCATATAACGCAATCACTTCATTTTACTTGAAAAGCAACTGAAGCCCAGGATCTGGCCTCTTACTCCACTCCCTACCATCCCACATACCAGCACAGGCTTCTAGCTCCTCCCTCGGGAGCAACTCAGAATAAGTCAGCCCACTCTACTCCAAGTAAAGGACTATGCAGACCTTTGAAGATCACATTCATGCTTCTCTTCTCCAGGCCACAAACTCTCCATTCTTTTCCCCGCGAGTCCAGACCGACCACAACCCTGTCACCTTCCTTTCCTTCAGAATTACATTTTCAAGACTATAGAAAGTTCTTTGTTGTGCAACGCAGAGCTTAAAGAAAGTTGTGTAAATCCTAAGGCAGCTAGGGGTAGCCAAATAATTGTGTTCTCAACTAATAGGCACAAGGTTGGTAGTTCAAGCCTCCTCTCATAGCACCTTGAAAGACAGATCTGGGGGTCTATTTCCCAGCAATCCCACGCTTGGAAGCCTCCTGAAACACAGATCCTCCAGTGCCCACTGAGTCACCCTGAGTTAGAATCAACAGTTACAAAAGGAGGCATCGCAAACTGCATATGTATTATATATGTATTAGACATATATCATCATCTTGCTGGGCAGGATTTAATATTTCAAATATTACAAAAATAAGAGGTGGAAACCTTATGTGATCTACAGTAGAATTGTGGAGCTGTGGTCTAGAGGGCTTGCAATGGCCTTTCCCCCAAGAGCCTCTGTCGCACCTATTTGTTGTACAACATATATGCTTAACCCCTGTTCTTGTCTGTTCCTGTTTTGCGCCATCGAGTTGGAGCCAACCCATAGCTGACTTTCCAGCAGGTTTTCAGAGGCAGTGAATCGCATGGGAGAAGGTTGCCTATCCCCCTCCTGCAGAGCAGCTGGTGTATGTTAACCCCTCGCCTTTGGGATTGCAGCACAGCTTCCTACTACCAGGCCAGTAACACTCTGTAGGTGCACAGATTTCACTGACAGTCACCTAACAATCAATGCATTGCTAGATGGATAATATTGTTTTCTTCACAATGCAGATGGTGGAACTGGAAGTACAAAGATACTCTCAGAGACACAAAGCTAGTGACAGAGCTGAGGCTGGACTCAAGTCCGTTGACCCTGGTTCTCATACAATTTCCACTTCCACAGCCAGAGATCACAGCAATGTTCCTGCCCGCACTGATTCTCCCTCTAGCTTGCGTCTTCACCTCATTCATAGAAGCCGAGTGGAACATGTAGAAAAGAGGTTTGGGAATTTGACTGGCAATGGCTTCAATGTCAGTTTTGCCACGTTTAAGCTCTGTGGTCCTAGGAAAGCTGCTTAACTTCTTTCAGTTTCAGTCTTCTTGCTATATCGTGGGATGACAACCCTGGTTTGCAGGGATTTTGAGAATGACGTGACTGTATGTGAAATGCCTGGTGCACAAGAGGTGTTCCATAAATGGCTGCTGTATGGCCACCAGATGCCGCTGGCTGTGAGCAGCCCATAGGATGGCTGTGAGTACAGCACGCAGCGATGGTTGGATACTCCTTGCTTTATTTAGCTGTCACATTGCATTGCACACTCTTCTAGTCTCACCTCATGAATTGCTCCCTAGTATTACTGCTTTCCAAATCCCGCTATTTCATTGACTCTCTGTTTCCTGAATTTCCATCATCCCTTGAATCTCCTTGTCCAGCTGTAGCTTGTATTTTTCCATGAGAATGCTTGATTTCCTTATTGCCTTTCTAACTTATTATGCGTTGTTGTTCTTTGTCTGTGACGATGGATGCTCTCCACATATCCGTATTGAGTTTCATCACCCGATTCAACACATTGCATCTCCTATTCATCGTCAACAGAGCAAAGCCATTGATGAAAGGGAGATGAAGACTGACTACCAGAGTAAGAACTTGGAGTCTAAATTCCACTGACACAAACACAGCAAAGAAGAGGCAACGGAGGGATCTCTCTGACCATCGTTAAATCTACAAATGACACATGTATTCTTACTGAAATGAACAACTCCTCTGACAGATTTAAAGAAATGAATGACGAACTAGTGGGCTTTGTGGGAAAGCTGATCATTCCGTCCAGGTGATTGAGTGGGTGACGTTACCTCAGGATGGTACATCAAAGTGCACAACCTTAATCTCTTCTGGTGGCTTCCATTCTGCTCCCTAATATTACCATTTTTCATGCACACTTTGAGTTTTAATTTTTAAGAAACTGAGGTCCCAGACCACCACAGAAGATATCTGACAATTCTAGTTGGGAATCCTGACCCCATCTTGACCTTACCAAGCCCATGGGCTGCCACTGAGTGCCACCTAGTGACATGGCATCCCAGGAAGTACTCATGCTGCCCAGGGTAAGCCCAAGGAAAGGAAGGAGGGTAGAAACTGGAGCAGGTAGCGATGGTAGTGGAGGGTGTGTGTGTGTGTGTGTGTGTGTGTGTGTGTGTGGACACACACACATGTACATTCACTTGTACTCCCCAGTTTAAATCACTGAAAAAGTCACATCCATAGCAGGGTGGGTAGTAAGTCCCCAGAGACTACAGAAAACACTGGTCCTTCTGCAGCATATATTGGGTGGAGCACATGGAAGTGGGTTGTATCCTGGAAGCGGGTTATATCCCTCTAGTAAGTGGAAGGGGGCTCTGATGGTTGTTGTCTATAGTGTGTTAAGCTGTTAACCAAAAGGTCATGTGTTCTGGCAATTAGAAACTACCAGTAACTCCAAGAAATAAAGATGGGCAGTCCCCTCCAGTTATAAATAACAGCTTCAGATTGGCTGGTACTTTACCGAATAAGGCTCTGAGGAGGGGGTGGGCACACAGAAGGGAAACCGTGTATAGAGAGTCACTGTCAGTGGGTGTGGGGCTTGTGAATTATGGAGAGGGGTCACTATGGGACCAAAGGGACACTGACAGAGTGCAGTAGGGGTCCTGGGTAATGCTCTGGCAGGACTTAGGCAAAACAAGCCTCTTGAAACCTCACCTGAAGGAAAAGCTTCTCGAGAAAGTAGCCACCAGAGTGAGATGGTGAGAGGACTGGGGTGCCCTCGGCCCTAGTGACCTCTTCAGGAGGGCTTCCTGAGGGTTTGGTCATCCCTACAGGATGACCAAATAAGAGCATCTGTGGATACTAAAGGAGTGCATAAGATCTGGGATCTTCTGATTTAAAACCAGGTCAGTGCTTGGTAAACCTAGACTACTTGTTCAGCTTACAATCAACACTCTCTTCGGGATTAAAATAAAATACACACCTGAGGTAGATAGTTCCACACTGGCCGGTGCCTGCCAGGCCCCTCCTCTACACGGTAGTGGATGGAGTGCTAGACCCTTCCTTGAGAAGCTGCTAAAGTATGGTTAGTCATTTTCAACAGTGCTTACAATAGAAAGAATCAGAAAAAGTTGGTGAAAAAGTTCAGAGGTTAAGAGAGTATTGGGGATGGGGATGAGGTGCAAAAGGGACAGAAGGACAGAAAGAAACAGAAGGGATCCCCAATAGTCTATATTCATTGTTTCCTTTCCTCATGCATGGGCTGTTTCTTGCCTTGGAAAAACTCCCAGGGCATTTTTCTATTGTTGTTTTTTTTTTTGGAATATATTAGCACATACAGTTCTCACCCATTCCTGCAGCTTTCCCCTTAGTGGAGATCAGCAGATGGTTGCTAAGCCACTGAAAAAAAAAATGCTCCAAAGGAGAAACGGAGCAGGCAGCTTCTGGGCCAACATCTGGCCCCCAGCTATGCCTGGCACCCAAAACTGACTTCTCACAGGGCAAGTGGGGACCTGAAAATTCATCCTTCAAGGACTCCCTCCCTGACTAGAGACACTGCTGTAAGCTCTGTGTGTGTGTCTTCTGCTCTGCCTGGTGCTGTCTGCTCTGTGCCTTCTTTCGTCACCACACAGTTGTCTTCCTGACCTGTCACTAGAGAACACACCATTGGAACTGGTGGGTCCAACCCTGGCTCCACAGAACCTGTCCTAGGCCTGGTTCTTGAATCAGTGCATCACTGATTGGGTGTTTTGATCATTTTTAAAATTTCTTTCCACATGGAATGTTTGTTGTTGTTGTTGTTGTTGTTGTTGTTATGTGCCATGGAGTCTCTTGTGACTCATAGCAACACTATGTACAAGTGCCCTAAATGCCATTCTATCCTGTGCCAGCCTCACCATCTAAAACACACTCATTCCCACCACTCCAGTCACAGAATCAATCCATCTCGTCGAGGGTCTTCCTCTCCTGTGCCACCCCTTCACTCTCCCAAACATGATGGCCCTCTCCAAGGACCAGTCCTACCTTACAACATGCCCAAAGTATGTCAGACGAAGCCCCAGAATCCTTGCCTCCAGGGAGCGTTCTGGCTTCACCCTCTCCAGCTCAAACATGTTTGTTCTCCTAGCAGTCCATCATGGTATATTCAACACTCTTCTCCAGCACCACAGCTCAAAGGCATCAATTCTTTTTCTATCATTCCTACTCACTGTCCAACTCTCTGAGGCATAGCACACAATTGCTAAGACTATAGCCTGGATCAGGTGCACCTTAGTTTCCAGCCTGACGTCACTGCTCTTCAGTACTCTTGAGAGGTCCCTCACAGCTGAATTTCCCAATGCAATTTGCCTCTTGATTTCCTGGCTGCTGTTACTGAGTGCTGATTGTGCAGCAAAGTAAAACAAAACTGTTAACTGTCTCAATCTCCTCACCATCCATACTGATGCTGCCAACTGGCCCAGTGGTGAGAATCTTT